TTCTGCCGGGTTCACACTACATGCGTTTTCTGCCGGGTTCACACTACATGCGGGTTTCTGCCGGGTTCACACTACATGCGTTTCTGCCGGGTTCACACTACATGCGTTTCTGCCGGGTTCACACTGATGCGGTGCGACACATTGCATGGGATCCACACAGGAACCACACCGCATTCCTGTGCAAATCACATGCGGTCTCTGTGGGGTGCAGTTTGAGCCGTACATTTTTTATGGCTCAGATCGCACCGCATCCGCACCAAAATAGTGCAGGACCCTTTTTTTTTGTCCCGCACCAGAATCAGATTGCAGGATATTCACACCCATGTGATCCGATTCTGCACATCGCACAGCATTTTGCAACCAATTTCAGGTGTTGTTAACATTCACACCCGCAGGGGATTCACATGAACGGGGTGCGATCAAGATGCAGTGCGGGAATCTCACAGAAACCGGAGCAAATCCCGCACCGCATCAGTGTGAACTCGAGCTCAGTTGCTTTTTTTTTTTTTCTGCATCCAAAACGCACAGAAAGTAGGTGATATGGTTGCCAATGTCATAGTTCACATCAGTGCTTGCAGTTAAAAGGAAACAATGGTGCTGCGCTCCCACAAAAGAGGCCTATATGCTATAAATAATTAAATAAATATATATTGTTCCTACAGACTCCACTGTCTGGGATAATAAATGTGAACAATATCATGCAATAATGTGCAAAATTACAAACGTAAAGAAAAAAAAAACATAAATATATAAATACATATCAAAGACTAAAAAGAAATGGTGCAAAATCACACATGCATCCCTTAAACAAGGGCAAAAGTGACCTGAATCCCAGCCACGGCACCACCTGCCTGGAGTTTGCATGTTCTCCCTGTGCCTGCGTGGGGTTCCTCCGGGTACTCCGGTTTCCTCCCACACTCCAAAGACATGCTGATAGGTTAGTCAGCTCCTGTCTAAATTGGCCCTAGTATGTGTATGTATGAATGTGAGTTAGGGACCTTAGATTGTACGCCCCTTGAGGGTTAGGGACTGATGTGAATGTACAATATATATGTAAAGTGCTGAGTACATTGACGGCGCTATATAAGTACCTGAAATAAATAAATCAGAAAGTGATGGACACTTGGCATAAATAATGCCTGAAACTGTGCAGTGAAAATGGACTGACACCCGGCATAAATGTTACCTGTACAAATAAACGGTAAGAAAGTCAGGATGAAACCTGACTAAAGACAAACAATAGGACCAAACAAATGTCCTTCCACATATCAGTGTCTCAGAGACGTGATGGTGACCCCAAAGAAATAAATATAGTGCTAAAGTCCCTAAATTGGGAGTAAATGTGCTCGTATATATGGACATCAAACTGCGACAACACAAAAATAATTGAAAAGTGACACACTGTGCTACATGTATAAAGAACACAATACTAAGCAGAAAATGCCAAAAAATGTGCCACCAATAATGACAATATAAAACAAATGTCCACTTGTGAAATCCACAAACAAATGGATATAGTGGAAATTCCAGCCAAAAGTGATGCAGGTGTAGGGAAATAAGATCCGTCGCCGGCTGGATTGCCCCCTCACCTTCATGTAGCGACCTCAAAGGGCCAATATGCCTTCAAAATATTAAACACAGCTATGCGACCAATCAGCAGGTACGGATCCGGGTTAGCAGTGATGGTGGTAACCCCCTTACGGAAATATAGATATGATCAATCCTGGTATCAGGGTCTCTTTCATGCAGGATAGTAAGCTCAGCCAACTCATATATATTATTATTATTATACAGTATTTATAAAGCGCCAATAGTTCGCTCAGCGCTGTACATTACAAAGGGGGACAGAACATGTGACAGAACAAGACCAATACAATGCAAAACATGATTGGATCGAGGCCCTGCTCTTTCGAGCTTACAATCTAGGGGGTATAATATATATGGTGAAGAACAGAAGAAGAATCCTCCCATAGTGGAATACTGTTACATTTATTAAAGTTGCACAAAGCCAACAAATGCTCACTCACAAGTTAGAGGTTTAAAACAATCTCACAGAACCACATGGTAAACGCTGGGTGTACTGCTATGGGTATACTGTTACGGATCCGCCAGGTGGTACCTCTGGCAGCCCACTAGGCGGAATCACCCGGAGCGTGGAGTCTAAGTCCCGGTCTGCGTTTTCACCAGGGCCCCTGATGGTGGGGATGGACTTGGAGCAGAACCAGGACCAGGTCACGACCTCCGAGCAATACCACCAGTGGCAGAGGGAGCCTCCTGGGATGAGAGTAAGACAGGATAGAGCCAGATGTGAGGAGGCCGGCAGGACCAGGCAGGATAAACCGGCGGTTGTCACCGTGGGAAATGGCGAGGTACAGAGACGGCAGGCAGAGAGTAGTCAGGTCACACGCAGGGTCAGTTACCGGAGTCAGTCCGCAGAATGGTCAAACAATGGGGGTCGGGATAGGAAAAGGCAGCGGTCAGGGGCAATCCGGGTCAAACACTAGAAGAAGGCAGCGTAGTCAGGTAATCCGGGTCGGCTGGAGCAGGCAGAACAATCCGGGTCTTTAAGTCACAGGGTACAGGCACTACAGGTAACAGATCAGACCTTGCGTCGATTTGTGACAGTGCAGGGCATCTTTAAATATCGCGCCCTGCACTGTCATTGGCCGCCCAGGACGCGCCCCCGGGCTGTCATTGGCTGCCCGAGGTGCGCCCGCGGCTCCTACTGCGCATGCGCGGCCTCCTGTCAGCCGCGGCCCGCCGGGACCTGGTTCCTGTGTCCCGGCGTGAGCCGCCGCTAGTGCGCATGCGCCGGGGACGGAGCCGCGGCGGTCCCTGACATATACCAAGATGGCGCCGAAAGTGCCACCACCACATCTCTGTGTATTGTCTGACACGTTGCATCACGTATCTCGTGACTTCCTCATGTGAGTGAGCATTTGTTTGCTTTGTCAATAAACTCCCCAGCATGTTATCCTATGTATCCATGCACACACAGGCTGTAATCAATGTTTTTTGGCTGGAAAAAAAAACCAAAACTAGTGGATTTCTAGAGGAGTTTTTCAGCTGTAAAAATGCTCTAACACTGAAAAATGCGGTAAAACGTGATAAACCGCCGCAAACTGGTGTTTTTGGACTTTTTTTGAGCAAAAAATAAATTTCTTTAGTAGAAAAAAACCCAAACGTGGGAAAACGCCGCTAATTGCGGAAAAAATGCGGCTAAACGCTAATGCAAAAATACTAAAAACAGCTGAAAAACTCACATTTTTACCGTGACTTTATACAGCTAACGTTACCAGCGTTATCAAAACGTCTAGTGTGCATGAGGACTTATTAACCCCTTGCTGACCGTAGATAGCTGAATGACGGCTTCACTGCGGCCGCCCAGTTCTGGAAGGGCGTCATATGACATTCTCCCAGAACTCGCCCCCTCCTGTGCGCCCCGATGATCTCCGCGACACTGCTGATCACGTGATGTGGTAAAAGGCCAATCACAGCGGCCTTTTACCACGTGATTAGCCGTGTCCAATGGCACGGCAGATCACCGGAAAATGCAGTTGCTTGTTATCGGCTGCTGTCACAGTGTGAGGAAAGTACTGCCTATAACCAGCAATTGTCAGAGGAGGGATCGGCACCGATCATCAGGGCACTGATGATCAGTGCCCAGCAGTGCCACCCACCTGTGCCTACCTGTGCCTAGCAGTGCCACCTGTACCTGGTGTTAATGCATAAATAAATAAATTGGTGTAGCGCTAATCCATATAACCCATATGAATAAACATACATATAAAATATAATAAGATATTGAAATATAGTGACGTATCCAAAGTGATCTGATCCTCTAGGGATCTATTGTGACACACGTACACGTGACACAGAAACATGAAATAACAAATTAGTCCCAATTGGATCCAATGTAATGAAAAATATCCAAATGACACAAACAAAAAAAAACCCCAAATCCCTAATTGGGTCAACAAATCAACAAAATAGACCTAGTGCAACAAACAGTGAATTCCCGAATCAAAAAGGGGATAATCCACCTAAATAAAGTGATACGTGCTTAAACACCCCAAATAAGCATATAAATATTAAAAAAAAAACACTTTATCAAAACACATACATTTCAACGCTCCAATCTGAATAAAAATACTGTATAGTGAAATGTACATCAAATGTAAATATATAATGACAATAAATTAAATATAAATAGTGCAAATCAGCAAAAAGTGATCCAATGACTCAAAATCATACAGGTGATGTGGTGAATGTACATTCAAGCCAATGATAAAATCCTTGAATGCCCCCTCACCTCCTTACCGCAACCCACTGGGCCAGCACGCCTCTAGGATCACACCAGGATCCTTCACGGGCAGTAACTCCTCAGCGGATGGTATCCATAGGAAATCCCCATCAATGGTGGCACTTAAACATCACAGGTACACTCCAGATATAGGTACCACAATATAGCTCACTCTCTCATAAGGATCATAATAATGACAGAAAAGAAAGATCCTCCATAGTGTAATACTGTTTTTTACATCAATATAGCAAAGAAATCACCAATTGCCCACTCACTTGTTGACAGATAGACATAAGTTTTCAAACTACATGCTGTAGGTGTGCTTCTGCATGGGTTTCAGGTGTGCCAAGATGGCGTCCACACCGGACCTACGTCACCGCGTACCTACGCATTGCGTCACGTTAACCACATGATTTCCTCAGGGTCATACACCTGTGCCCATCAGTGCCGCCAGTCAGTGCCACCCATCAATGCCCATCAGTACCACCTATCAGTGCCCATCGTTGAATATCAGTGCCGCCTCATCAGTGCTGCCTATCAGTGCAGCCTCATCAACGCACATCAGTGAAGGAGAAAAATTACCTGTTTGCAAAATTTTATAATTGAAACAAAAACTTTTTTTTAAATGTTATTGCTCTTTTTTGTTTACAGCGCAAAAAATAAAACACCCAGCGGCAAGTACCGTATTTTTTTGCTCCATAAGACGCACCTGACCATAAGACGCACCTAGGTTTTAGAGGTGAAAAACAAGACTAAAAAGATTCTGAACCAATGGACTGCAGACAGTACAGAAAATGACCAGAGACTGCAGACACAGTACAGGAGATGACCAGAGACTGCGGACACAGTACATGAGATGACCAGAGACTGCGGACACAGTACATGAGATGACCAGAGACTGCGGAGGACACAGTACATGAGATGACCAGAGACTGCGGAGGACACAGTACAGGAGATGACCAGAGACTGCGGGACACAGTACAGGAGATGACCAGAGACTGCGGACACAGTACAGGAGGGATGACCAGAGACTGCGGACACAGTACAGGAGATGACCAGAGACCGCGGACACAGTACAGGGGATGACCAGAGACCGCGGACACAGTACAGGGGATGACCAGAGACTGCGGACACAGTACATGACCAGAGACTGGGACACAGTACAGGGGATGACTACGATGACACAGGGGATGACCAGAGACTGCGGTCACAGTACAGGGGATGACCAGAGACTGCGGTCACAGTACAGGGGATGACCAGAGACTGCGGACACAGTACAGGGGATGGCCAGAGACTGCGGACACAGTACAGGGGATGGACCAGAGACTGCGGACACAGTACAGGGGATGACCAGAGACTGCGGACACAGTACAGGGGATGACCAGAGACTGCGGACACAGTACAGGGGATGACCAGAGACTGCGGAAACAATACGGATGACCAGAGACTGCGGACACAGTGCAGAGGATGACCAGAGACTGCGGACACAGTGCAGGGGATGACCAGAGACTGCGGACACAGTGCAGGGGATGACCAAGAGACTGCGGACATAGTACAGGGGATGACCAGAGACTGCGGACACAGTGCAGGGGATGACCAGAGACTGCGGACACAGTGCAGGGGATGACCAAGAGACTGCGGACACAGTGCAGGGGATGACCAGAGACTGCGGACACAGTGCAGGGGATGACCAAGAGACTGCGGACCTTTGTGGAGGGAGGGGGAGCAGGTACCTGAATTGGACAGGTACCCGCTCCCACTTTCGCAGAGATGTACTCCCTTTACATCGTGTTCCAAATTATTATGCAAATTATATTTTTCTCATTTGCCTAAATAATTGATGTAAATAACAGTCAGCATAATTCTCATGTTACAACTATTAAGAGTACAATTCACATTTTATTGAACAAACCTCCTAATGATAACAGGATTTTTTTTTAAACATAAAAAAACTTACAATGACTGTTCCAAATTATTCCGCACAGTAAGTTTCAAAACACTTTATAGGTTGTAAAGAACTGAAAATTGTCCTTTGTTGTGTTTGCAGCATATTTACTGAAATCAAAAGCTATTTCAATCAAACTTTTAACATTTTAACTTTTTCAACATTCTAACAGGTCACGTTACATTGTAACATAGGACCCCTTATTTGATAGCTTCACAAGTCTTGCATCCATTGAACTTGTGAGTTTTTGGACAGTTTCTGCTTGAATTTGTTTGCAAGATGTCAGAATAGCCGCTTGTGACCTAAAGGGACACTTTTTGGATGCCATGGACGTTTCTCAGTTTCCAGGCAGAAAGAACAGACAAAATGCAGGCAGGGCGCAGGACAAAGCACTCGGGACAAAATGTATGTGAAATGGGTTGAAACAGCAATGTTTTACTATGTAAAATTTGTTTGGAAAAAAATGACATTTTTTAAAATTTTCAAATTTCCCGCCGGTGGCGGCGCCCGTACGTCCCGATGTCACAGGGACAGGAACACAGGAGCCGGATGCCGGCATCGGGCGGAGGAGATGGCCGGGAACACTGCAGGGGACACATCGCGGGAGCGAAGGACAAGGTAAGCTCTGCAGGGACTCCCTATGCAGCGCAGCATGGTAAGCCCGAGTGTAGCTCGGGGTTACCGCTTTTGGTACTGACATTTTACTCTGAGCTACACTCGGGAATACCGCCAGGGAGGTTAATATGCCCCTGCCAACAAATTAAATAAAATTTCAATTTTATGTAAATATACTTAAATTTGCTAGGCAATTGTCCCTAAAAAGATTTTTTGCCAACAAACCAACCGCCAGCAATATGGCACATGACAATTACATGCATTCCAATCTACGCAACGCCTCTACTTACAACCCACCTCCACAAACACACTCATATGTAAATGTATTTAAGGACAAAGTTCTCAAAGAATTGGGTAATCTATCTATCAAACGGCCATATGACGGATCAGGGGATATTATGGCTATGAAATCACTCCTAGAAAAGAGATCTGGTGATCAGACCAGCGGACAAAGGGGGTGGGGTAGTGGTCCTCAACAAAACTGATTATATCACAGAAGTTGAAAATATTTTAAGTAAACCGAAACACATACACCCCATTAACCAAAGACCCTCTTGTGAGTTATAAATGCTCTCTTAAGAACATTATCAATTGTGGTTTTGAGAACAAAATCCTGAACAAAAAAGAGAAAGCCTTCCTGATCCCAACTGCACCTAAACTCCCAGTATTCTGACACGGTGGCGGCAGCGGAAATACCGGACTGGACGCTCCATATTCACTCCATAAGACGCACTGACATTTCCCCCCCCCCTTTTGGGGGGAAAAAAGTGCGTCTTATGCAGCGAAAAATACAGTAATTACCACCAAAAGAAAGCTCTATTTGTGTGAAAAAAATTATAAAAATTTCATATGGGTACAATGTTGCATGACTGCGCAATTGTCAGGTGCAGCAGTGCTGAAAGCTGAAAATTGGTCTTGGCAGGAAGGGAGTATAAGTGCCCGGTAGGCAAGGGGTTAAACAAGCTATAGTTAGAAGCTGATTGGCTCCTATGCTCAGCTGCACCGGATTCTGAGTGCTCCAGTTTTAGTAAATCCCCCCCCCCCCTGTGTACTCGGTACGAATTGCACCTTTGCCATTACTGGCATTTCTTCTGAGAACTCTAGTTGCTTGGCTGTCATGTACATCCACAGGCTTCATTGCTGGCTGAGTGATCAGAGGAGTGCAGCAAGTAAAGCTCGGACTTGTCATCGTCTTACTTGCACCCAGCAGTGAATAGCAGGAACTCCAGCTTTGTCTTGTATACAGAATATTGATCTGTGATGTGGCAATGTTCTAGGGGTGTGCCAGGAATAATCCTGAGCCTAGGCTGCCCCCCCTCATTGACCTCACAGTTACTGCGGGGGAGGTCTTTGCTGCCGACACTTACATAGACTATTCTGCCTGGCAGGGGGCAGTTTAGGCCTCATGTACACTGGGCATGTATCCGGGGGGGGGGGGGCATGACTCTCCAGCATATAGGTAAAGACAGAAGGCACTGGTGCCCCATTCAGCCCCATTGCTGGCCGCCTGTACAACTCTATAGGATTCTGACAGCTGCTGGATGGTGCACCGAGCACTACTAATGTTTAGAGCGGTCAGTCTGTCTGCAGTCGCAGCAAAACGCACCAAAAACGCACTGGAATGCACATGTCCCTATGTAGATTGAAGAAAAAGAGAGGGAAAAATGAACCAGAAAGCATCAAAAATGCGTGGAAACACATCTGGAAGCGTTTCTATAGTGTGAACTGGCCCTCAGAAAAGTCCATTCTCTTGCTCTCAGCCTCCTCCAAATCTTCAGATTTTCTATTTTTTGCTGCTGTGATCCAACTTCCCACTAGAGGGTAGCCATGTTTATTATCTATGGTCCCACTGGATGTAGGGACTACCCAGCCTTGCTTGCACTAAGATGAACTAGGGACTATGGACAATGGAAGTTGTAGTGTGCAGAGAGCAGTGTACATGACTGCCACTAACATGCACTGATCATTCCAAACATGAAATGGAAGTGAGGAGGAAAAGGAGAGGTGTGGGAGCTCACAGAGGACATTATACAGAGGAAGAAAAAGACTTTTAAGTAGTGGATGTAAATGGATTATTTTTGGAGAAAAAGATAGTTTAGTGTCACTTAAATGGTTCGATCATCTGTCAGACCTCTGTTGCTTCCTGGGTCCCTGTTGGAGGGCCAGTTTCACACTCCATGCGTTTCAGTTGCTTTTTTTCCTGCATCCAAAATGCACAGAAAGTAGGTTATATGGTTGTCAATGTCATAGTTCACATCAGTGCTTGCAGTTCCAGTGCGTTCTGGTTGCAGAAAAAAAAAGTAGAACAGGCTACATTTTTTCTGTACAGAACTAAAACGCACCGGAGCGCACTAAAAACGCACTGGAACACATGTCCCTATTTGAATTGAAGAAAAAGAGAGGGGATAAAACGAGCCGGATTGTTTTAAAAAAACGCACACGAATGCACCAAAAACGCGCAGGCAGAAACGCATCCGGAACACATCTGGACTGCGTTTCTATGGTGTGAACGGGTCCGGAGAGTTTGGCCTTCACAGGTGCAGAGAAATCTCTCCAATAAGGACTCAGCAGGATTGTAAATTGTGAAATAAAACCTCCCATCTGTCATCATTCCAGACTCGTTACACAACTTAACAATCACAATCATTGGCTGGGACTATAACGGAAGTGAAAACAATAATAGCTGTGAATAAAAATCTTCTCCCTTGTTTTACCCAAAGCCTGGGCAGCCTAGATCCCATGGTGTGCTCTGTGTACATGACACACTCCTGACCCCTGCACTATGGATGCTACCTGGTTGTCACTATGCTTGCTGCCTTTTTCTTCTCCTCTGAGTTCCCAAGAGGGCCCCTGTCAGATCGGTTGTATAGGGCCACCCTGATGTGATTCATTGGCTGTACAGGTAGTGCAGTCAGCATATGTTTGGAAATCTTCTCAGTCTGATAGTTTGCTGGGTGATCACACGGATCCTCATAGCACTCCTGCAGGTGATGTCCTGGAAATGTGTGTTGGGATTTGTATTTCCTCTCCCATGATGACGTCGGTCTAGGCTGAATATATACAGTGCTGTGTAATGGAGAATTGTCTATTGCTTTTATTATTGCTAAGTGCAGTAACCCATGGCAACCAATCTGATTTCACTTTACAGCTGTCAGGTGACTGAGAGAGGAGATCTGATTGGTTACTATGGATTGTTACATTCAGAACTTGGCTATTTGTGTTACTGAATACCCTCCATGTCTCTCTATCAGACAGTCACTCTCTGTGGTATTATCACACTGGAGTCTCCTCTCCGGGATCCGGGATCCCTGCGTTCTCTGTACGGTCGGATATGTGGATGATAAGGAGATAGAGGATTATAACAGCGACACTCGGCAGCATCTTCCCAAGACTGAATGGATGAAGAAAGTGGGACCTGACTACTGGGAGAGAGAGCACACAAATAAGTCGGGGTAATGAGGCTGTGTTTAAGCAACAGTGTACAGACATTGATGAGCCGATTCAACCAGAC